AGAAGGGTAAAGGTTTGGCCTTTCAGCAAACGGGGCTAAAGCAGGAACTTTTTAAAAATACCAACAGCACATAGGATGTGATCTACTATTTAATTAAATTCGGTTTATTTATATAGTGGCAGTTTACGAAAAATGCCATCTCGAGGCACTTTAAAGAGAAAATGCAGTCAGATTAGTTAAGTTTCTGCCAAAGAAAATCAATTGATTGTATTGAGTCACTGACTTGCAAGACATGCTCCTCCTAGACTATCGCACCATGCGCGACACTGGATAAGCTGTGATGACGATTTATGCTTGTATTTTTCTCACTGACTCTTCTAAACTCTACTAAAGGTTTACATGCATAAAAAAACTTGATATCCGAGCAAGTCAAACATCAAACTGAGTGCAGCTTGAGGTGCGCTTCCAAAATGAGCAAAACCGAATGTGCAATCCATTTAGCATGCTTGCCTTTATTAATATTCAAAACTGGTCATCAGAACATGAAAAATACTGGCATTTTTGTTTCTTATTAGCTGAAATGTGATTTTCCAAACTTGAAAATCGTGTGCAAACTTCAACAGACTCATGCAGAAATGTCTTGTCATTGTGGCAGAGGAAGGCATATACATAGATGCAATGACAGACAGTGAAGAGAGAGGATATTCCATTTGCATGTCTATATATATTTGTACTATCAGAAGTTTAAGTATCATTTTGAGCTGCTGGGTGAACTAAGGTTTGACTTTAATCCAGTCACAATTAAAAGCAATGCTTTTTCGGCTTTGGAAAAACTCCATGCGAAACCTTTTTTTTTTTAGTGTCTGAATGTATTACTGTAGTTCACCATCACCGTTAGTGCTGACTCCCAGATTTTAGAGGTGTGGGGCCATTATATCAATTATGTAATATATTTACTCTGTGGTGCTAAAAACATAACATGCAGAAACTGTTTTCACCTGATAAAACCACTGTGTTCTCACAAACATAACGTCTACATTTAAATCACTTTTGCCTCTTATCAATGGCACACCCAAACTTAGTAGATCAACTGCAACAAGCTGCCTAATTTTAAGTGCAGTTCTTTTGTTTGCACAAGCAATCTAGTTCTCTTTATTTGGGATCTTGGTAGTTTAGAACCATTTCATTGTTTGAGTGCTTTTATTTTACAATCACAATAAGTTAGATCGACAGATTTTTACTGAAAAACAAACCTGGTCAAATACAGAGAGGGTTTTCAGAGACGTTTTTGAGTCTAATGCTCATTTAGGGCTATTTAGGGGGCACTTAGGCCCCTTGAAAAAAATTTCCTTCAAAATGGTTGGATCAGCACTTAACCCCATTCAACAGAGTCATTATGTAAATTGGGGGCACTAGGACCTTTTACGGCATGGTGCCTGTCACTAACCTGAGAACTGCTCTGGCAGCGGGTGCCATAATACAGGAATATAGAGCTAACCCAGCACAGCTTGCATTGACATTCAAAAGGAGATTTGGCCTTATAAAATAAAACATTGAAAAACTAAACAATGAAAATGTTAACATTGCTACAGATGTGTAACGCCGTAATGATACTCTCAATTTAAGCAGCAAGTTTTATTTAAAGTAAGATGGTTTGGTTTCGGTGTCACTGCAGAGCTCCTTCAGTTATGATGTCACTGAAGGAGGCACTTCAGGTGCCTTCCATTTTTCTTATACGCCTCATCATTTACCTGCTTTGGGTCATGTCTCAAAACATAACTTGCCCTTAAGCTTAATTCAAGATTAAACTTGTTGGTTTACACAGCTGAGGAAAATATTAGTATGTATCAAATTATCACACACAACACTTGACTATAATCAAACAATCAGTAAAAGTAAAGCATCAGTTACTATTTTTATTGATTGCTTAGTTAATCACTTAAATTGCTATAAAACCAATGGCTTGGTCAGTCTCTGACCAATATATATTATGTTATATATATATTATGTCTATATATTGGTTAATTAAATCAACAACATGGGATGTTTTCCAACCAATCCACTCTTAGATTGAGAGCTCTGTTAACACAAGTGTCTTAAAAGGTATAATATAATTCAATTTATGCAAGAAAGTTTTATAACCGAAGCATTTTGCATGTAAAAAATGTCTGATTTACATGCAAAATACAAAAAAATGTTTTTCTTAGAAAGTCAAAATAGTCATAAACTTACAAATTACAGTGAAAACCTTTTTCAGTTGACATTTTTAATTGTTCTTAAGGAGAAATGATTTATTTGAATGTCGCTTTGTTCTGCACTTTGTTTTCTGCATATTAATATTTTTTTCTTTTTAAGAATAACAAATTATGAGCAAATCATTGTGTACTTCATGTTCTTTCTTCTCGACACATAAGTCCTAAGAAAACAGCTCCACTGTTATTTTTTTGTATGTGAAAAAATTACTGGCTAATTTCTCTTCATATTTGAGCAGCCCTACAGCCTTAGAAACATAAAAAACTCTGATTTCCATGTGTTGCCTCTTAGGTTACTTAAATCATTTCATTTAGATGAGCTAGATGAGCTGCAGTCCAGAGGCATAGTTTTTTTTTTCCTTAGTCATGTAATAATAAAAATATTAAATATTTTGTTTCTCTGAGAGAATCTGAGGCTATTACCACATTTTCAAATAAAAATCTCAACTTGTTTCTGTTATAGTGGCTTCATTGCTTTATGTTGTTCTTATTCCTTTACAGTGTTCTGTCTCTTTGGCCCCATCCATCTCAAAATTAATATTCTCATTTTTAAGTGTTAAGAAGTTCAAAAAACTGCATTACAAAATTAAACAGAAACGTTAGCAATTCTATGTTGATACTAAGGTTGACAAAGTGGAATGCGCCACCTTGTGGATGTAAGTGGAGCTCAGGATCATGGGGCCAGAAGTGAGGAAATAAAGAGAAAACACTTTAATGGCACTTTTATTTGTTGCTGAATAGCAAAATTAAGGACGAAGCACTGTCGTTTTACAGCTGTTCAAGTTTCAGTTCTTTTTGCTTCAATAACAAATACGATCAGAAGAAACTTCAAGAAAAAAAATGGTTCCAATAACGCTGCAAGAACTTTAGACTAAACACAGTAGGATATCAAAGCTACATGAAGGTCCACCACAGCTACATTTCTATGACTTTTCTATTTTATTAAAAGGGACAAGATTTGTATGAAAGAGTTCACTCCGTTTATGAAAACATGTCTTGAGGATCACTATAAAAGGCATTATGAAAATAGCTTTCTAAAACATCAGATTCATATTTGCCAAATGGCAAGTTCTCTTAGAAAAGTTAAACCATACATGTTAAACAAAAATCCATGAAATTACATTAGAACAAAATAAAAAACATGTTTCAGAAAAAATCTTTCAAGGTTAAAATATCCGACAATCATTTGGCTTTAGAGAGAAAACACACCAACCCCTCTCCTCTGTATCCTCGGATTTATTTCTTCTTAATCACAAGCTTTGTGTGATTTGCTAATTTTAAACAAAATTTTGTTTCTCATGTACAAAAATAAAGTGTCAGACGTCATTTGTTGTGTCTGAAAAATCCCAACTCTGACACACAAAAGTAGTTACAAACAGAATTTATCTATAAAAAATGCATGCAAAAGTACAAAAGGTGCCCTAGATTTTATATTTTGACTTTAAGGAAAATTCCCCTTTCCTAATGGATATAATTTTGATTTTGCTTGTTGCCATTTTAAGGAATAAATAGAAAAAACTAAATTGGTAACTAATGTTTAGGTAAATACATTTTAACACTTGAATATCCTCATTGATTACAGCTTCATTTATCAATACTACACCACAATTAAAATGTGGTTTATTGTTCTATTTAAGAAATATGAGGAAAAAAGTGACTGAAAAGCAGACATTCATGCAGAGGCAAGTATTTTAACCTGACCGTTTTAGTCTGTATGCTACTGTGGACGTTTGTATATTATGTGCTGCAAAGAACTTTAAACCAATCAAAATGTGTCTGCAGATATTTGCAGAACAGACATTTTTATGGAAATAGGCCAAAAATAAAGAAAATTCACAAAATAAAAGACAAAAACAGACCAAAATTTCCAAATGATATTTAAATCTTTAATATCACATTGTGGGTTGGTTGTAAATACTGATTGATTTGAAATAGTTGTCAGACCTCTAATGCAGGCAAAGGAGAAATTAAAGATATGCAAAAAACAAATAGAAAAATAATACTGTTTTCTTCTGCTCCTCAACAAAGATGCAAACTGAATGCGTTCTGAGGTCGAGAAGCACTGTCTGCATTTAGAAAAGGAAATCCAGCCTGATATGAGGAATTGTTCTATGTATACATCAATAATAAGTCTGCAGGCCAGATTCAAGCAGTGCCAAATGTTTACTTTAATTTCATAAAACGGGTGACAGAAATATATATAAAGAAAACTAAAAGATCTTTGTTCAATATGTCAAAATGGAGGCATAAGGCCTTTGCTAATATGCTACAGTAACCCCCTTTTAGACTACCAAAATACAGTATGTCCCTTTACAACCAGTGACTCGCTAAAAATTCTAATTTAGAAATAACAGTTGAAATTTTCCACATCCATATTTGTACAATGCGCTGTGCTTTTGCAGCTACGTCACGTCGTTGATCCGATTTTTGTTTGCGTACAGAAATAAAACAGCTGGAGTGAGGCAGGACTGCAGTCCAAGCAGCAGGGCCCGACCTGGACGGGCGTTTTTGGCGTTCGACCGGATCACATGCATTCGAACTCGTCGATGCGCTGTTTGGTGTTGCCGGACCGGATCTGTCTGAGGGTCTTGTACTTGTCGCGTCCTGCTTTCATGTTCTCGGCGTGGATGACGTCGTTCACCGTCTTCTTGGTCTCGTCCCTGGCGTTGGCCAACTCTGAGCTCAGAGCCTTGAACAAAATGAACACAAACATTTCATCAGGATCTCTGAAGAGGCGTCATTTTTTAGGAATTGGCACCATGTTTTCAAAGCGTCTGAAAATGAACAGGAACTGGGCATGAGTCCATGAAACTAGGCACCATCTAAAATAGAAAACCACTACCATATATGGATGATGGTGTAGTGTATGGAGTAGGAAACAAGACGATAAACAGAAAATGAGTTATTTTCTACTTAAAAATGCGTCTTCTAATGTGTCCAATGTTACCGCTGATGCAAATAGTTGGGCCCCTAGGTGGGCATGAAATTATAAGGGGGGAAGGGGGCAAGAACAGTCTTGCCCCTTTTGGGCCAGAAAATGCAGCACATGTGTTGTTTTCTATAGCACCATTAGCTAAATCCTACTAAATGGGACAACAGCACCATCTGCTGTTTGCTCTGAACCTTCAGTATTCCTGTTCAATATTTTTTTTGTTTTTGCAGAAACATCAAGATAAAAAGTCTTCCCTACTGTTTTCAATATTAGTGTTTACAAAATGTGGTATTTTGGTCTCAGCTACAGTCTATAATAAAGAGCTACATTTTTGACTCATTATTAGGGTCTAAACTTTTAAGCTCTTTTAAGATAAACCGTTCTACTTTGCATCATTTTTCCATTTCAATTAAGAACCCCTCATTTTTTTCCCTGCCTTCTGAAAATGTGACGTCAAGTCCTCTGGTGTCACATTTTCAGCCCAGTTGGAACCGCATCCAGCCAGGTATTACAAATACTAACAGCTAATAGCAGTTTCTAATGGAAAAGAAAAAGAAAATACAGAATAGAGAGTAAATAAAAAATTAAAATAGAGAGCAGAGCTGCGCCAAACTACACAGAGGAGGGAAAAAAAGTTTTCTCCAACCTTCCATGAAACTTGGCTTAAAGTTTAGAACCACAAGGCTGAGTTAGAATAGCACTATTAATGGCTAATGGATTTAGCAGCCAGACAACCGAGATGAATGCTGGCGTTTGAAAGCATAACGTTCGATAGTGGAGGAAAAGCTTTGCTCTATCATGCTTAACTTTAAGGTTTTTTTTTTTCCTGCATGTGAAACATGTATAATTAGATCCCATTATGTTCTGTATTTTAGTATGTTGCATTAGCTCAGTGACTTTCAGGACTAAGTGATAAGCTCACTGAAGCTGGCCTTACAAAGCTTGAACTGGGATTGTTCTTAGGATAACATTGATGACTGAATATGTGTAGAAAAGTCAGACTTTCACTGCCACCATGTTTAGACAAGCACTGCACTGCTTTCCTACTTTATCTAAGCTCTGTGCTAATGCATATCTATACATAGAACGGCCATGCTAAGCTGCTGACGGACCCAGAGCAGAGATTTCTACCGCCGCCATCTTGGCGAATTGTAAGGAGACAAAGCTTTTATAAGGCTTCTGGTTTGTTACTCTTTCAGGCTCCTGCTCACAGACCACATTTTTCCTGAATTCTTCCTCACTGGAAAAATAGCCACAAATATCTACATTCTTGTTACTTTAAAGGTTTTTATATCTATTTCTTGACCTTGAAACTTTTGAAACTACTTCTGAATGAAACAGAGGACTCAAAAGTTTTGCTGAGACCATTTCTGATCCACTTCTTTTGCAGGCTGCAGCTCTTTAGCAAACATTAAAATACCAAACACTGCACTCTTTTTGCAACCCTTGGAGCTCTAGTATGATTATCTTCAGAGCCAGGAAATAAACATGGGTTATAAAATGCACTGAAGTATTTCTAGAACGTACCTCTAAGTTTGAAAGGACAATAACTTAAATACAACGAGAGGAGCGATTATTATAAGGACTGTTGTTTCATCCATGGAGACAAACAGGAATGAATGTGGTTAATTTTAAAGTCAGTTTCTGACTTATTGCTCCTTTACCCTTTCCTGTTCACAGTGACAGACTGACCATCATAAGATATAAACCAAGCCTTACAAGTAGATGTTTCTGCAGACGCTCGTTCTTCTCGGCTTCGGTCATACGCTCCTCTTCGCTGCGGTCCTTATACGTGGCCGCGGCGGTAAACTCGGCGCTGGCCTCAGCGCTGCTCTCGTCGTTCTCATCGTGCTCGTTCTCGGCATTGAGCGGTTCCTGGACATGGGCTGCCATCACTTTGTTCTTTAACTCCTCTTTGGTCTTCTCCAGGTCCTCCTGCACCGTAGTGGCCTGAAGATAACAGGAAATGAGTTTGTTTGATGGGAGAGGGTTCATTGTCATAATGTTAAGGCTAAAATGATCATCATAGCAAAATTTAAAACAAACAGGGTTTCCTTTTTTGGCCCCTGTGTACTTGTCTCTTTCGTATGGGAGAGTTTCAGAGGAAAAAGGAAAGCTACATGAGCAGATAGAGGTGCCAGCAATTACTAAGACTGGAAACTTGGCACAGCGGCTCAAAGTTAAACAGGATTTCCAGCACTTCTGAGAACTGGAGTCACAGCGGCTTGAAACCTTCACAACAGCCCTGGCAGGTCTTTGTTAAGATTATAAGATTTGAAAAATACAACTTTATTTTAATCTGGTGCAATAAGCTAATATGATCTAACCTATATTTGATTTATTTATTTAAACTAAAGAGAGGTTTTCATGTATGGTAATAGGCAGAGTAGCTACTTTTTATTTATTTAAGAGATAAACCAATACATTGGCCAGCTGATATTTTGGGCAGATATTAGCTGTTTTTTTGGATCATTAGTGCATTCAGCATTCATCATTTCCACTCCCTCCATTTGTTATCTGTTGTTAATATCTTGTATGATTTGCTGTTAAAGGTTTCTCCTTTTTTTGTATAAATTTAGACTTATGTAACATTTGTTATGGTCATGTAGTCTTTTCAATTGGCTCCGTCCAAAAATGTAATCAGTGGCTGATATTAAGGATCGATTAGGCAAATGTAGAAATAATCAACATCAGCCTTAAAAATTAGTAGATCTCTATTCGATTTGTTCTCATTTACTTTCGGTTTGAAAGAAGCACCAACCACTCCAAATGACAATAATTAGTAACTAGGTGTGATGTAACGAGATGAAAACATTTCTTGTCAAAGAAACATCCATCTTACAACGTCAACTTCTGACAACTCCTGCTACAGTGTAAGCTAATATTATCCAAAGATCAAAAAGTGACTTTTGATCTTTGGAT